TGAGAATGGATCCACACAGAACGTTCCTTTTTCTTCTTTTCTGCTCTGAAGAATTAAAACCACCTCAATTTTTAATACCTTTGTTCTGATCTAGATAAAACCTGACAGCGTTTTCACGGTGCACAGCCCTGCTGACACCCTCCTGTTCCAGTGTCTAGCCACAAAGCCAATGGGCTCTGGCAGAGCAACCCAAAATATCCATCCCCATCTAACTGAACGCTCTGCTGTGATGATGGCCCTGTCAGGGCCCTGAGCACATCCCTCTCTCCTGGGGTTTGGCTGCCTGGGCTCAGCCTGTTTACTGCAAACAGTAACACCTGAAACTGGGATGAAAGGAGAGTGGGATTGTGGTGGTTTCACTTGATAAACCAGGACAGGAACCAAGGACAATGGAGAGAACCCAGCCACAAGCCCAGCGTGGCAGCAGTCAGGATACTGGCCTAACTTGAGTTACATTTAACCCTCCCAGTTCCTAGCAGGGACTGGTTACCAGCAGGGAGGAGAGGATGCTCCCAAACATGATGTTGCAGCCTTAAAAAAAATAAATAAATGATCTTGTGAGCTGACAAGGCTGGAGGAGAAGTCACTAACAGCAGCTTTGGATCTGCTGTTGTTCCAGCTGCCACAAATAACTTCCCATTTTTATTCAGCTCTGGTCACAACAGTGAACCATTAAACACAGCCAGGAAATCAGTGAAGAACCTGGAAGTGCCCATGCAGCGGGCAAAAAGAAATGGAACATAAACAGCAGCACCTCTGAGCAAGCATCAGGAAATATTTTCTACCACCAGACAGGCAAAGAGGTACTGGGGTGGCACTGGGGCAGCTTTGTCCTGACGTGCACCATGCAGGGAGCACAGTGAGCTCTTCCTCATCTACAAAGGCCACTGCTGCCCCAGCTGGGGCTAGTGGCCAGGGGAAGAGGGAGGCTGCAAGGCTGAACTCGAAGGCATCAAAGACCAAAAGTATCTGGTGCTTGTGATGGCTGCAGTCACACGAGGGGACGCTGAGTCCTTGTGTTCACTGCTGGCATCCACAGGATGGCACGACCTCCTTTCTCACAGGAAGAAAGTGGAAAACAGCAGCAATTTTGGCTACAAAAGAGAATTTTGCAGCTAGGAAATTAATTTAGACGAGCCAGAGAGGTCGCAGAACACTGTGGATAACTGCAATGAGCACACAGAGCAGGGAAAATGAGAGAATCAAAAGGTTTTCAGAGATCTTGCCCAGTATAAACCCCGCTGCCTACCAACCTGCTCCGTGTCCGGCGCCTTCCCTTGCTGTCACTTCCATTAGCGCTGCCCCTCGCCCTCATCCTCCTTCAGTGATGGAAACTGATCTCTTCCCTCTGCATGACTTGTCATACAATTTGCTCAATTTCCTTCTGTTCAGGACACATTGCCTGAACTTGGGACTATCTTGATTAAATGAAAGAGAGTGACAGCTCAGGAATAAGATCACGAAGCTGTCTCCTGCGTGCCGGTGATGCAATCGCAGCAGCGTGTGCTCTCCGTACACACACATCTCTACACGCCGACCGTCGCGCACAGACACGTATATAGAACGTTAATAAATAATTGAATAATAAAGTGTCACCATCCAGGTTAATTTGGAAAGCAGGGCTGTAAAGCAAAGGTGAAAAATGGGGCCTGACAGTGCATTAGCATAGACATGAAGCAGTAATCTATTCATGAGACATCACTCCTAATGAATCATGACTGGTAGAAGAGGGAGAAGGACAACAAGGCTGGCATTAAAAGTGTCTGTGCTCCGTGCTCTGGAGGAAAGTAGGAACACAGCTGCAAGATGCGATTCATTATCCTGTTTTGCCTCATGTGAGCTCTTCCCACTTGTTTCTTCACAGTCCCCCTTCCCTCCTCTCATTCTCCCCCTTATTTTATGTAGGAAATAAAAATCTCACTGCATAGGTGGGGGTAATAAGATTTAACATCTCCCTTCTCCCTGTACAAGACAGGCTACTCATTTTTCATTGTCTCCACACACAAATCCAATCATGTGAGCATGTGCTCGTGGTTGGACTCTCAGAGTTTTTTTTTCCTCAGGTCCACAGATAAATTTACAACTTCCCCTCATCCCCTCCAGTTCAGACTGAGCCGGGGTCCTGCAGCACCCCACACCCCGATGGTTGATTTCCTCCCTCCTTCCTGCTCCTCCCAAAGGAGGTGAAATAGGGATGATGAGCCAAGTCAGGAAAACAGTTTGTGCCTGATCGTGTCACAGCTCTGGAGTCAGAAGTGAAGCACAACTCACCTTGTGCTGTGCGAGCTCGGGAAGGGATCTCCTCACATGCTCCTGCAGCCGGTACAGTGCCACGGAGGGCTCGTTGGCCAGGACGTACATGCTCTCTGTGAACTTGTCTGTAACTGCAACGAGAAAACAACAGAGTTATGGGAAGTGGGAACAACAGGAGGGAAGGTGAGGTTGGAAAGGGTCCCCCTCAGAGCGCTGGTCCCATCCCCAACACAACAATGGAGAGATCAGAGCAAAATCACAGGTATTTTGGATAACCACTCTGCTAATAAGGATGTGAAAGCAAAATCCTACTAAACAGGGAGTTTGGTTTCCACATTCCCCATAACAGCATCTGCAGCCAGCGATGAGCCTGGCTCCAGCCACAGACAGAGGCCAGCCTGGGATGTCACCACCTCCAAAGTCTCCTGCAAGCTCTGGTTTCAGGGCTCACTTGGGTTATGCCTGGCCCTGAGCACTTTCTGATTTGGAGGGGGGCAGGAGATGAGCAGAGCCCGGCAGTGGCCTGGCTCCCGTTCCTGCAGCCGCCCCATCCAGCTCGGAGTGCCGGCATCTCCCGGTCTGGAAGTTCCTCATCTCGCTACCAGCCATTTGGGTTCAAATCTGCTCAAATCATAGAATGGTTTGGGTTGGAAGGGATCTTAAAGCTCATCCAGTCCCAACCCCCCTGCCAGCAGCAGGGACACCTTCCACTAGACCAGGTTGCTCAAAGCCTCATCCAGCCTGGCCGAGAACACTTCCAGGGAGGAGAAGCCACAGCTTCTCTGGCCAACCTGGGCCAGTGTTTGACCACCCTCACAGTGAAGAGCTTGAGCTCTCCTGCATCTCATCCATCCCCCACTGCGGGGTCCTTCTGTTGCTCCTCTCCAGGTGATTCCCCCAGGTGATGTCCACGGAGAAGACGCGGTGGACGCAGACAAGGGCTTGGAAAGCTTCACTGCTGTTCCCAGCTGCCTGCTGAGCCACTTTCTCTCTTCTCCCCCTTCTATCCTGGCCCAACCTGGGTCACCCTCCACACAGAAACACCTTTTCATAGCTACATCCTGAGCCCCTACAGCCCTGAGCTCCCTTTCCCTGCGGGTTTGCGTGGAGAACACTGACAATAATGTGACATTAATGACAGCTCCTAATAATGAGGAGACACAAAAATCAGAGCTCGTTTCACTGCTCATGGTGAGGGTGTGTGGGGTGAACCAGGGGGTGTTTTCACCAGGCTGAAGTAGAATAGTTTCCAGCTTCTGCATCATTTTCTGTTCTAAGGGAAATTATTCCCCTCCTCTCCCTTCAGGGCTTTTGTTCCAGTGACAACTGCTCGGATACCCCAGTTCTGTGACACTTCTGAATGCAAATGGGAATAAAAACAACACTTTAGAGGGATAATTAAACCCACCTGGGACAGACAGAGCTCCTGTCTGTCTGTCCATCCCCTCTCCTGACACCCGTTATCCCCCAGAGCCTCACAGGGGGCAGGGAAACAGGACAAGTCGGGAGCTGGGGACACAGGGCAGGTGTCCAGGGGGGCCC